GTGTGTGTGTGTGTGTGTGTGTGTGTGTGTGTGTGTGTGTGTGTGCGTGCGTGCGCCCACAAACTGATTTTACAGCTTCTTTTATGGCTGCTTGTTTTTTGTTTCACTGAAACCTTCCAGAGTTGTTCAGTCCTCATGTGTCAGCAGAGACCACCAGCCCAACTTGTCCCTGTCCAACTGGTCCCTATCCCAACTGTTTAACTGGTCCCTATCCCAACTGTTTAACTGGTCCCTATCCCAACTGTTTAACTGGTCCCAGCCCCACCTGTCCAACTGTTCCCAGCCCCACCTGTCCAACTGTTCCCAGCCCCACCTGTCCAACTGGTCCCAATCCCACTTGTCCAACTGGTCCCAATCCCACCTGTCCAACTGGTCCCAGCCCCACCTGTCCCAACTGTTCCCAGCCCCACCTGTCCCAACTGTTCCCAGCCCCACCTGTCCCAACTGGTCCCAGCCCCACCTATCCCAACTGGTCCCAGCCCCACCTGTCCAACTGGTCCCAGAACTGTAGTTGTAAGTTTTGTTGTAAGTTTTCACACATAAATCTATGTATCTGTAAAGACTCATTATCAGTCATATGTTTAATGGACACAGCTAGAACCTAAACTCTGACGTTATAATTTTACTTTGAGTTCAAACAAAGTTTCAACCACAATTCAAAGTATAAACATTACAAAAAACAACACGTTCTCCTTTCTAACCGAGTTATCGTAGTTCCAAATGTAAACCCTGAGGAATATTTCCATCATCTCCTCGTCTAACAGATCAGAAGCTTTTTACCAGTGAACGATGTTCAGGTTTTAACCCTCGAACAGCTCAGAGTTTAGAGCAATGATGTTCTCCTCTGACCTGTGGAGCAGACAGAAACAGACTGATGGACGTAAACCTCACAGCTCTTTTCAGTGGAAAGGGTTAGGAGTTATTGCACAGCAGGATCACTTAGTGAAACATGCTTTTGAATAATTAGAAAAACCTACAAAACTATCAAAAACCAAATAAATTAAGTTGGATTTAAAAAGTACAGTCAGAACACCTGCTCACCTTCATCTGATTCTCTGCTGAAAGTGAAGCACAGAACTGAGCTTGTTTCAGATGTTTGGACTTTTCTCGAACAAAAAGGGTCACCTGGTTCTGAAAGGTTAAAGAATGTTTTCAGGGGGCAGGGGTGGAAATTAGCACCCACCACCGGCCCAAAGCGGGTAAAATTAAGTGGCGTGTAGATCTGGACAACGCACCCACCACCGTGGCAGGTGTGTAATGAACAAAAAAAAATTACGTTCAAATTGTGCTACTGACCTTTGTCAAAACCTCAGTTTCGTTTTTATTTTGGATTTCAGAGCCTGTAGGATGTTAAAAAACATTAAATAACATCATTTTCCAATCCGCTCTGCAGCTAGAAATAAATTCCCCCCTCCTCCTTTCCTGCATGCTGTCATCTGTGGTGTCCCCCCCTCCCCACCCCCGTTGTGCACATTATACAGGTAAACATCCGATTATCAGAAGGACAAAAATAAAACCAACTTTAATGTGGCGTTACATATCTGGAGTTAATTAGGCAGCAGGTAACAAAACCCTTTCTCAAGAGGAACCAAAGGAAAAACTGAAAGTTGCAGGTTTTTTAACAATAAATGGAAAGGAAAAAAACAGACAATAGTGAGTTTAAAAGGGCAGTTAATCTGTCGGCAAACAGCAAAACTGAATAAGCTGGCATCAAGAGCAAAAACCTGACATCAGCTGATTAAAAACACTATTTCTAACTGCCAATGCGTGAAAATTACATAAATGTTAGTTAAAAAAAAACTTCATATTAGTTGTTAAATATTTTAACTCAGTAACCATGATCACTTTGACCAATAGAAACTTAAGGAAAAACTGTTTTTTAACCTCTAGGAAACGTCTGAAGATCAGCTGACAACTCCAATAAATAAATAAATAGTCTGTTCCTTCTTTTCCCTTAACTTTTCTCTGCAGGCTATTGATGCAGAACAAAACAAAAACCCAGGCAAACTAAGTAACAAAATGAACCTTGTGACATAACCTTTTTCAAAAGTAAAAATAGAAATGATCACTCTGAGACAATGGATTATCTGAGGGATCTGTTGTTGAAATCTCACTTAGAACAGAAGACACATGTTCATGCTAGTTGCCTATAGAGCAAAAACTACAAGTGATAAAAGGCAAATGCTGATTTTATTAAATGGAGATAAATTTACCACAGGTAATTTAGTTGTAAGGTAATTTAGTTTTTTTTTTCACCTTGAAAATTTCTTTCCAGCCAAGTATCCTACCTAAAATAATTGGTGTTCCACCTACAAACCAGCAAAAAGCAAGTTAGTAAGAGAAGTAGAGACATCAAAAAGTCCATCGTTTTAATTTTGGGCAAACAGCCTGGCTTGAATACACTAACGATTTTGAGTGCCATTATCTGATTTTAGCACGAACACTTTAATTAGGCCACCAGGACCATGAATTGTCTAAATGACACCGTGTTACAGAAGCAAAACAAAACAAAAAAAATAGTGGCTGCTAAAAAGTTTGAGTGGCCGGTACAAAACTTTATCTACCAGCCACTGTGGCTGGTGGGGAAAATTTTTAATTTCCACCCCTGCTGGTGGTCTTCTGTCAGATACTTCTAAAGGACTAAATCTATGAATAAACTGAATTGAATGAATATCTGTTGTAGACATCTCTGTGTCAACCACCGAGGCTCGGAGATAAGGTTCAGTTCTGACAAGAGTGATGAGCTAAAGAAGTGGTTCTCAGTTCTCCTGGGTCCTTGTGACCCACTGTCCTGCATGCTTTAGTTGTTTCCTGCTTTGGCACACCTGATTTAAATGAATGAGTGATTGGCAGGCTTCTGCAGAACTTAAAGAAATGCTGAAGAGCAGGGAAACAACTACAACATGTAGGGTAGTGGGTCACGAGGACTGGAATTGAGAACCACAGAGCTAAAGACTAGTCTGAACAAAGCTATGATCCAAACGAATCTCTGCTGTCTTAACAGAACTTCAGTCCTGATTTGTGCTACCAATTGTGGTCAGTTTCACACTGTTGYTTTAAACCAAAATGGCAGTGATCCTCTGATGGTTCATACCTCGTCATTTTGATCAGAACTAAACTAGAACAAATCAAAGAGCATTCTACAGCAGGTAACATGTTAACACTTCAAAATGTTTTGAACCCTTACTTTAAAGTAGACAGAATCTCTCTTTAAGCTGTTTTAAATCTGTTATAAACTCTGGTTTCTTTATTAACATGTGAGGTCAGATGTCAGTAACAACCAGCTGATACATGTCTGACTTTGGTAATGACACTGTACAGACCTGGTAACACTTAGGTACCTGGGTATTTTCCACTTTTACCTGAACGTGTATCTAATCATTACCTGATACTTATCTGATACATACCAAGGTAGATACTTGGGTATATTCCTGGTACTTACCTGGCACATTCCAGGGTACATACTGGATACTTATCTGGGTACATACCTAGTACTTCCTTGGTACCTATCTGGTACATTGCAAGGTACATACCTAGTACATATCTGGGTATATACCTGGTACGTACAGAGTACGTTCCACAGTACATACCTGGTACATAACAGAGTATGGTACTGGTACTTCCTTGGTACATACCTAGTATGTAGCAAATACTTACGAGTATATACAAGGATACATGCCTGGTACTTCTCTGGGTACTTGCCTGGTACGTAGCAGGGTAGCTGCAGTGTGTTGTGCTGCTGCTGCACGTTGTTCAGAACATCTGAATTTTGCACTTGTTAGTTTTTTTGAAGCAGATTATTTGTTCTGTGAGATTAATGATGTAATTTCTGTTCATACCAACATTCTTACCTTCAGATACTTGGAACTGCAGCTATTTTAGATTTTTCAGTTTGAATGTACTTAATGTACCTGACTAAACTAGTACTGTGTAGATTGGCGGAGCTTGGTTGAACCTCAGAGTGTGTGTGTGTGTGTGTGTGTGTGTGTGTGTGTGTGTGTGTGTGTGTG